TGTTGTTGTTGTTGTTGTTGTTGTTGGTGGTGTTGGTGGTGTTGGTGGTGTTGGTGGTGTTGGTGGTGTTGGTGGTGTTGGTGGTGTTGTTGGTGTTGGTGTTGGTGTTGGTGCTGGTGTTGGTGTTGGTGCTGGTGTTGGTGTTGGTGTTGGTGTTGGTGTTGTTGGTGTTGTTGGTGTTGTTGTTGTTGTCGTAGAAGTTGCAGTAGTAGCAGTAGTAGCAGTAGTTGAAGTTGTAGTTGTCATTGTTGTTGCTGCTGTCGCTGTAGTAGTTGCAGTGGTAGCAGCGGCAGCAGTGGTGGCATTGGTGGTGGTGGTGGTGGTGGTGCTGTGGCACTAAACGCGGTCGGCCTCGTCGTGAAAGGCACGCCAGCACGCTCGCTGCCATCTTCAAGGCTTGCAAGTGATGTAAGGTGTGTCAGAGCCAGGTCAGAGCGAATGCACAAAGAAAGTTCAATTGTCCAAATTCCCCTCATATATATATATATACATATGTATGTATGTATGTATGTATGTATTTACATATTTACATTACATAGAGGTATGTATCAGCATGCATACGTATATATATATATATGCACTTGCAGACCGAGCCGAAGTTCTGGCTTTGAGCGGTCTGAAGGACGGCATCCTGGGTGATGGCATGTTTGGGGAATGGACCCACCGCACTGTGGTCCTGGTCTTCTGTGGATTTATCCTGAAGACACTTTTCAATCAGCAACCTGGAGAGATTTTGATGTCATGGTTTACACCTTTTTTTTCCGGTTGTTCAGGTGTTGCGGCACGGGAGTTCACATCAAAGGATGCATGGCCTCATGACCTTCAGGGGAAGTGCGGCTTAAGGCTTAAGGGCCATGAGGGCCTTTAGGGTTCTGGGTTTCGCGGACCATTGCCTAACTTGGAGCCGACAGGTTTGGGATGTGGCATTGACTACAACTCTCCTGCCACCTTCTCAGGTCGCATGTGTGGAGCATCCCCGAACTTCGCTGCCCCCAAAACCCCTGTTTCACCTTTATTGGGTTACGGCTGCCCACGAACCATTTGGAATACAGGTTGCTGTGCTTATAACCTAGATTGTATCTGTGGTTGCAACAACCAGCACCTACTTCGCCCAGGTACTTGCTGAAGGTGTTGGATGCCATCTGGAACTCGAGCTGCAAGAAGTTTCATAGTTCATAGTCTGAGGACTTTTGAGTTTGAGCCCTGCCGAAGGCACAATTATCCAACAACGGAAGGGAGAGACGATAAAACCCAAGTTCGTAGATTAGTCTGCGTCTGAGATCAAGACCGACTCTGCCAGTATGCGCGAGGCGGTAGACGTCTGATTATTGAAGCCCCGGTTCCCTCGGTAATCGATCACGGACGGAGATCCGGATGTCATTGGACTTGCAGTAAAACGGCGTTCTACTTACTATTCCGGCTGATCGAAGCTGAGCCCAAAAGACTCTGACACTATGGGGTGGTAGTTGAGTCGAAGGAGTACACCCGTGTTTTGTTTCGGCTTATGCATTTGAGGGGCTTGGCTTGGGCGTTAGTGAAGTCTCCTCAGCAATGGTACTACCAGTGTGCCGGAAGCCTTGCATGCCTTGTGCGAGTGTAAGTGTCGCAAAGACCGATGCTTGGCATCTCATCTCCAAGCTCTTCAGGAAGAACATCAGCGAGGCCATCGGCGTGATCCTTGTGTACTTTGGACGCGTCATGTTCCTGGGAGGAGCCTCGAGTTCGTTTAGCTTCCTTGGCAGGTGCTTTGATTCGCAGTTGCATCTGCAGGTACAGTAGTTTCGCCATGCCTTCTACCATTGGTACTACTGTTGTAATTCTTGTACTTCCGAATGATTAGCATTGTGAAGATCACCGCTGTTAAAACTTTGGCAGTGTCGAGACAATTAGTGTTACGATTGCCATTGCTATCTCCCCGTCCGCTGCTCTGGGTCTTTGTTTGATTCCAGTGCCATCGCCTTCTCTTCCTCGCAGCTACTGCTTCCATGACAATTTATCGCACTCGTACGATATTAGTCGTTAGTGAGGATGAATGACGATGACTCCAATTCTGTCCTTTTCAGGTAATGACGAGGAGCACTGCACCAGTCCGAAAGATTGTTGCACTTTCTGTCATTCACTTGAAAGAACACGGTTCCAATGCTCCTCTGCCCGGTAGACTTCTCCACAGGTCCTCTGCATCTCTTGGGCAGCACTGTAGGGACTTTGTAGCATTTTTTGCCAGTCTAGTGTAGGCTTTCTGTGCTGCAAGCTTTTCGGGAAGTCGTTGAAGACCTGAAAGAACTCCAAGATATACCGCTCTGTTCCAAGCATTTAAAGCCCGGCGGGTTGAGGAAAGTACGACCCCACCGTCTTCAATGCCGGTGTCACCGTTGTCCTGGCTTGCATTGCCTACGTCCTCTCCAAGGACCGAGATGTGAGATTCCAGGCTTCGGACTCGCGGTGCTTTAAGGTTCATTAGAGAATTCGTGTAGTAATATATAGCCCTTGAGGGCTTAAGGGTTCTGCTTGTCGTCTATGATACACCAGGACACCCTGTTCGAATTGTTAAGGCATCCATTGTACGTGCATGTAAATGCTCATCATGCCATCAGAATTCGTAGTTCAGTGTGTCTTGAACTTGCCATGTGTCGTCGCAGATAAACCGCCGACGCAGCACTATGCCAAACTAAACCTCATGGTAGTGTAGAGTCTATCGAGCTTTGGACCAAAAAAAGACCCTAAACCCTAAACCCCTAAACCCTAAACCACCCTACCTTTGGGCAAGGCTCTAAAGGCCCCAGACCCAGAACAGGAGGGCAAAGCCAAGAAGAGCGATGTTGGCGATGACCTCAACCCCGCAATGTACCCGGACCTCACGACGCCCCGTGGCTACAAGGCTGTAGGGTTTGGAGTGTATGGTGCGCACCTGCATCCCTCAACTGCAGGAAGGCTTTGCCATGTCAGGGTTCATAACCTGAAGCCCCAAATTCCAAGCCACGGTTGAAATTACTTCTGGCACCAGATGAGCTTAAGCAATTTCGCTACTTGAGAGCTGGTGCTCGCTGTACGGACTGGGGTGCGAGGGAGGGGTTCAAGAGGAAGCCAAACTGGTGGATATCGTTTTCGGCTTCCACGATCTCTTGCATCTTCGGTTTTGGATAGGTCCTTTCTTCACAGCGGGTTCACTTCAATGACATTTGACGCTACTCTCCGTGGCCAGCTCGTTTGGAAGGATGCGGAGCCCAGCCGATGGTGGTTCAGGAATAGGCAGTGGTACTAAACTCTTTAGTAGTATTAACACTGCCGTATAAGATAATGTTGGGAACTGGGACGCGTTCACGTGATATTACATCCCCTTTCCGTGGGAATCAAGAAAGAGAATCGTCAACAGAATGCTCAGGCAAACCCGCGGAATCCTCCGTGCAGGCCGCATTTTCCTGCAAACCAGACGTGAAGCTTCAACGGCTTGGCCCAGACATCGCCCCGAAGACTGTAAGACTATCCTCCCTGTGCCAGCGCAAAAACGCGCGGCGCGGGATTGCGCTGTTTCCGGGTGCCTGAATTTCAGGGTTGCCTCGTTGGTTTGGGAGGCGGGGTGGCCGGGGAGGGGGGGGGGCTGGTTATGTCGCTGCCGCACATCATTTTCACCGAGCGCAAACCGTGCCTTGTTTTGTGAGCAGCCAAGACCTGAAAGAAACGATTCCGACAAACGTCGCGTGTCCAAGACAAGCAACGAAATCTCAGAATTGCATGCCTAACCTGAAAGTACACCTTGAAAACGTTGCCTGACACTACACATCATCGAAGACAACCCTGTAAATGCCGACAAGAACCACCCCAGATAGTGAACCCGCTGGGAAAACCTGATGAAGCGCTGCACACCCCTGCTGTCGATTTCGGTCCGATGGAACCTGCAGAGTGAAATAGCCTGTCAAGCCTCT